TATATATAGTTATTTCGTCTTTTTGACGAACTGATCGCTCGGAGCAAATACCAGGATTAAGTTTCGTCAAAAACGAAAGCGAAAAAGAAAGAAAAATAGTGAAATTTGATCATCTATTTTCACAGTGAGTGGAATATTGTATGTATAATTTTTCACAGTGAGTATCATTTAGAATTCATTCTATACTTATAAAAGTTATTGTGTTGAAAGAGCTCAAAATAATTTCCAATATTTTCTATAGTATAAAGCAAAATCGTCATAGTCTTGTACATTTTTACCCTCATTTTAGATTGCAATATATTTTTGTTGTTCCATCACTGTAATGTCGTTCAGATTTGTCTTGTTTATTATTTTCCTATAAAATTATTAACATAATAATTTATTGTTCTGATTTTTTATGTATGATTCAGTTTTTTGTAAAAAGTCACAATATAGGAAATGGAAAAAAAATTAAGCTCATTTTGTAAATATAATAGCACAAAAGTCTGCATTGAGATTATATTTCTTACAAACATACTAATGACCTTGATATTTTTTTTATTAAACGTATTATAAATAACTCTGTTTAAGTTAGTTTGCAATGACGTTCTTTATTCCCTTTGCATGCGCCACTGTAAATTGATTTTTTTTACCTGTAGTATTCGTTTGTCCTTTTTATAAAAAAATAAATAAATTCTTTAAAAAACATAAATAAATGAATAACAATCAATGTTCAGTTTAAATTATTTATTACTTCAGGCCTTTCATTTCCAGTTCAGCAATTTTTTGATCAATTAACTAATTACATTATTTATTCTTTTTATCGATCTTTTTTTCTATTTGTTCTGTAAAGAAATAAACTTTTCATCTTGCTCTCCATTCATCAAATCAAATCACTGAAAATAAATTGAATTTGAATCTTGTAAATTATAACAATAGAAAACATTTAGTAGTAAAACCATATTTCTAAGACATAATTTATTTTATAAATATTTTTCAAATAAGATATTAAAATCGGTCAACTCTTACTGTGGAAATTTGCCCAAAAAGTTTGAAAAATATTTCAAAAGTATGACAAAATTATTCACTCAGCTTGTGATATATAAAATGATCAAAACTAATTGCACCGTTTAGAAACCTTTGCAATTAAATTATTTCAAAACAGCTTGTACTCAACACCTGAAAAATGACCAAAAATTAAAAAACAAATTATTGTATTTTGCTTAGAAAATCAAATAGTAATTCACAGTTAGTTGCAGAGTACATAAACTGGCAGAGTTTCTAACTAGCAACAACCGACTACAGCATGTAAATTCTGAATATAAATTTAATAGACAGATATATGTCATATGAAATAAAGTAATGAGAAGCAGAGAACATTATTTTATAGTTTTTGCAACCAACTGTTGGCAAACATTTGTTACTAATTTTGATATTTGTTAAGAAAAACTAGCATGTTTTTGAACAAAACACTATAACCTTGGAATCGGATCTGGACCCCTTTGGAAAAGGAACTCTAACCCCTGATCAGTCACTGGGAACATTTTTAAATCAATACAGGGGTCAGTGCGAGTCGGCAGCAAAATTCGAAACGACTAACTATCCATGGAATCCGAACACACCCGATTCACCCGATTGGGAGAAAAAACGTTCTATCCCCTGATCCATGAAATTACTATACATCGACTTCCGTGAACAGTTATTTAAGGATCAAACATAAATGGAATAAAATAAAATGAAAAGTTTAAAACATTCATATGAAGATGAATTCATTTCTAAGTATTATTATAAAACTATTATGCGCGACCATTAAACTAGTAGGGGAGAGTCGGGTAGCCCCGCCCACTTAAGGAATATTGCTTATATTTCTGTATAATATTGAGTAATAATCAATATTTTTGTATGTTTCTATTGTTTTATCATCTAATTAAATAATGCAGAAAGAATTAACCAAAAAAAGAATAGTTTTACTTAAAAAAATAGAAATTTAAAAAATTTGACTACTGTATTTAACATATTTTCAAAACTATTGTTTACCATGTTACCAGCTGCATAAATACTTGAAACTTTAAAAATAATATTTTTTTAATATAACAATTAATATCCGATGGCCCATTGACTTGAAAAAATATTCTATACATATGAAATTGACTGTGGGTGGGGGGCCCGATCCTCCCCTATTACTTTACATTCTTATTCTTTTTTTGTGTATGATGATAACCAAAACTGTCGTTGATATAGTTGTACGTTAGATTTTTTTCATCTAGTTTACATATTTTTTTATTTAACAATGAGTAACTAAACGTCAAAAATCTGTTTAAACAAGATTAGTTAAAAAATTTCAAAAATATGGAAATAAGGAACATTTTTTTTAAAAATAAAGTTAATTGTCAGAGATTCTGCGACCAATAGGAAAGTGTTCTAGTAAGTAAATGTTCTCGACAAACAGTTAATGCTATTAAATAATTCATTTTAAAGACCTTTAGCGTGTAAAAATATAGATGATGAATAAACAAAATGTCAATAATTATAAATTTCTTTTTACATATTTTAAGTATTTGCTAAGAGTTGATTTTCAAATTCACATTTCTGGTGCTGTAATTTTCTTGAGCAATTTAGATGTATTTGAAAATTAATCTTATACCTAAGCAAAATATCTCAATATATATTCCACTTCATAACCTAATCGTTTTTTAAAAAAATCATTCATTGTGGAATACAAATTTAGTAAACTAATTTACATGTTCCACTTACCTCTTGCAGTAATTAGGAAACGCCATGCAAGTAGACGTGAGTCCCGCTTGACAAGTCTAGAAGGAAGGGAAAAAGTTTCATAAGATTTTGCCTTAAGTTCAATTCAAAAACCTAAAGGAAATATATCCATCAGGTTGAACAAAGTGATCACTCTCAACTCATCGATTGCTGCCAGCACTGGCCTAACCTCGTGATCTATTGGGAACCCTGTTCTTATATTTCCATTTATGTCAAAATGCCAATGGCCTTAAATCGATTTATGAATCATGAAATTCCATGTAAATTGAAATACTAATCTCAATTTTAAGACATACCAGAATATCGAGCATGTCCACACATTTTCTCGTAAGCATTACTTGGGGGGGGGGGATAGTGATGGTTTTCTGAATACTGTTCCGGTTTTGGAATCTTGTTATTGTTTACAACTAGTGTCCCATCCGTATGACTTGAAACAATTGAAACTTGACATTTTGAAACACAAACAGGAAACTAACTCTTACAACACGAGTATACCTCAGAAACGTTTTCAAAGGGTATAAAGTATATAGAATAAGTTGGACATGTTCTTTCCGAAATTTCTATAACAAACTCTTAGTCTTTGCTTAATTTGCAACAAAATTCCATTTCATAACACTTTGGGGTCTCGCAAAAGTTTCTAGTATAAAACCACATGAACTTAAAGGAAAATAACATTAATTTTTCAACATTCAAAATAACCATAGCTTGACCTCGGATCATTATCAAGAATTTTTCCTAGACCATCGCCAATAGTCCAATACGCAGCTATTGTGCGACGCAGAATAACTACAAGAGTTGCATTTACGCACGCAACTAGACTACTTGAAACTCCATTTTTGCGAATCTAACAGTCAATCATAAAACCCAATTTTAAGATTATTATTGACATAACTATGATTTTCTTTTCATTCTTTGCAACAATTACTTTAAAAGTAAATTGTAGATTTTTCATATATGTTCATAATTGCTAATGTAATAAATACTTGTGCTTATTTGCCAAATGAGTGTGGTCAAAATTTAAATATGTTATTTCTTATAAATAGGTCGGAGTCCCAAGAATAAAAAATAAGTCATAATTTTACTCGTTAAATATATAACTTCTTCATAACTTTATTTCTTTATTTGTCTGGAATTAGATGACCGAGTTCATTCAAGTTTTGTATTTTTTTGTTGAGAAAGTACAGTTCAAAAAAATAGTTCAACTTTTAAATACTTGAAAACTATAGTTTTCCCAACATCGGTGTACTTTGACATCCTATTTTGTATGAATATCTCTGTAAGAATGAGTTTCGGTGACTATGTATTCCTTAAAATATTTTAAGCAAAAAATCTTGAGGCATTTCTAGATATATTTTTTAAAAATAGCCCGTAAGCCATACGGAGGAGGAAACTATAGGTCTTCCCTTGTCAAAATTTCTGATGGTTTTCCTTTGATGGCCCAACATTATCTTGACGGTAACCATCAATAATTCCATCATGAACCATGATAATTTTTGATGGTAACCAACTTAAATAACCATCACTCCAATGTAGGAATTCGGACAGAGTTATGATGGTTCAACTTAAGAATAACAACTTGTTTTAATGGTTCATTCCTTTTGAACAATCAGAAATTTTCATCAAAGTCTATAAAAGTAATATACCATCAAAAACAAATAGTTTTGATGGTACATTCTTCCTGAAACAACAAGAGTTTCCATTAAACCATAATGGAAATGCATTGTTGCACCATTATGGAAAATCACGAATTTCCATAGTAAACTAGAAATCAAATGTTGGAACAATCATGAGCAACCATCATCCCAATGTAGGAATTCGGATAGATTTATGATGGTCCAACGTAGATCTGTCCATTCCCTGAAGTTGCTTTTGCCTCTCTTGCGCATTATTAAGACGTGTTGCCATGGATCGTCACCAAGCATTTTTCTTGCTGAGTAGTCACATGCGCGCACTTTGAGTCTACAGTATTAAACGGATGCTCCCCTGGGGCGGGACGGGGTTAAGCTTTGATGGTCCAACGTAAAGAAACTTAATGGTTTTTATGGTATATCCCTGAGTGCTAACTAACAATAATTCCCCTTAAACCATCATGGAAATGTACAGTTGGGATCATTATGGACCATCACTGCTTATCATGAACTGTTGGTTCGTAAAAATCAAACTTCTCTTGCTAGTAAACCATCATAGTATTAAAGTAGCATTTTCTAACAGAGAATGATGGGAGTTAGTTGCCATATCAAACACCATGAACGAATAACGGAAAATGTAGGATGATGGTAACTATCAAACTATGTTGGACCATCATGAATCGCGCTGAAACCAACGTAAACCATCAAAATGATTTGATGGGACCATGAAGAATTTTGACTTGGGTTATGAATTCGAATCGGGGGTGTCACCTATCATCATAGGCGTGGGATGAACATTTTCATTCCTTTTTAGTAGGTGGGACACGTCTTTTTTCGTAGAAAATAATTTGTTCAAGATGATGTTTTATTTATGTTTTAAAGATTTCTGAATTTTTAAGTCCCTTGAAAAGACAGTGTTTTCATTTTTTATGCACAATTACCAAAACCAAAAACGTTAGGTTAAGGTTCCTTGTTTGTATCAGTTTTGTTTGATTTGAGATGAATAACAGGGGTAAGTTAAGGACCTAAATTTTCTTAGAAAAAATATCGAGTTATATTATCAAATCTAATTGCTTTTTTTTTAAAATTTGAAAAATAACGTAATCAATTTATTTGATGCATCTATTAGTATGCATTACAAAATTCGGGAGCTTTATTTTCTTTTGTTTTGTAAAATAAAAAATAATTTTTCCTCGTTTTTAGAATTAGATCTCTCGATCCACACTTTTCTTCCAAATTCTTACGGCTTGCAGTTCATCTTTAAAATGTTTTCAATATTTTCAAATTTTTCAATTAATTTAATTCAGATTTGAAGTCTCTTATTATTGAATACTTTGTTTATCCTGTGATTTTAACTAAATATAACAAGGTAACGGTCAGAATTCCTAGAACCCCCTTGTTAACTTCTTCTAAGCAAGTTACATGCCTTGAATCAATAAGAACATGACCGATTTAGTTTGTATCAAAATTTATTAAGAAAGTTTACATAAATTAAAACTCTAAAAAAATTTTAAGGAAAAGTAACATTTCTGAAGAAACTTAATTGGATTTAAAGAAAATTATCATGAATCAGCTAAAAAATATACGAACATTGAATTTTGATTTCTGGTTTTGTTTTTGGATCATTTTATTGTTCACAGTTTCAATAAATTTTTCAACATTTTCAAGCGTTTTCAATTTGATACATTTTAAATCAAAAAAGTATTTTTCCTTGCTACAATTTTCAATGCAATTTAAGGATATTTGAATTTTTAAGTTTTTCGACTTGTACTGCAAACTCATTCCCTTTTTTCAGTTCATGTATTTGTACTTTTACACTTATTTTTTTCTCGTTAATCTTTAAAATAAAAATCTTTTACTCATTTTTCAGCATTTACAACTTCTTGCAGTTATTCTTTAAAACTAAAATTCAAGTGCGTGCTTTTGATTTTTACAAAACCGAGTAGGAAATCAAATTTTTTTATGAAATGAACAAAGCGAACTTTTAAGATTTTATAAACATAATAAGCCATTGTGTTTTATTAAGAAAACAACATATATTTTAACTCACCCGATATTTTTCCCAAGCAGCAAACTCATCTTTACGGCTGGGAAAAAATTTTTCTCTTTCAAGCTTGTTCTAAAAATTAGTTAAGGTTACAAAATTTTTATTTTTAAAAACATATTTTTATTTGCTTAAAAGAAAAATACTTACACTATAATCAAGAATGTGATTGATTGTTTTCAAAAGGCAATTCTTCTGCAAAATAGAAAAATTAAAAAAAAAGTTTCAAAACATGAAAATAATACCTAATTAACAATTTATGTAACAATTAACAAAAGTTCTATGACCATGGTAAAAGATACTATTTTTTTCTGGATTCTCACCATGAATTTAATGGTTCAAAGCTGTTTTGTTGACTAAAAGTTTTTCACCTTTATCATAAACGAATTAGGATCAAGTTGGGTAATTATGAAAATGAGGTAGTTTTGATCAGTGCCATTATGGTTAATTAGTTTATAACGAAGTCCCTGGTGCTTAATACTACATTTTATTATTATTATTAATTAAAATTAATATTACTATCTGAAAGTGTGTATTTCTAATTACCATTTTTTACTATAATGAAGTGATTATGACTTGGTATAATGTTAACTCAAAATAAATATTTTGCAATGTTCTGCTGCGAAAAACGTCTGGGACATAAATAAGAAGGAAAATTATTTTTTATTCTTTAAAATACCTGCAGAAAGCTGCTTAGATAAAAAAAATAGAATCAACGAGAAGCTTAAGGAAAATATAAGAAATCAGATAATATAGATGAAAGTTTAGTTCCGAAAACAAGGTGCATACCGAAGCTTGATGAAGATATATTTTTCCTTATTTTTGAAAATGATGAACAACTTCCTTCACTGTGTTAAGTAAACACAGTTCCAGAAATAGTTTAGAATTTTTTTTTAAAAAATCGAAAGAAAATAATGAAAATAAGCATCATCAGATAAAGCATATTTTGCATACATAACTGATGAGTAAGTGGTCAATCATTCAAGAAAAAAAATTTAAAAATAGGAAGAAAATACTGACATCATCAAATAAAGCATATTTTATATTCAATACAAACGAGAAAGTGGTCAATCATTCACTATTTAAAAAAATAGGAAAAAATACTGACATCATCAGATAAAGCATATTTCGCATTTAATACAAATGAGTAAAGGATCAATCTTGTACCTTCCATCATACATGAATTCAGTGAGAAGGGAAAAACACTGGTAAGGGTTTCCATAGAGTCAGACAATAAGCTAAAGCAGTTCTAAGATGTACTGTAGGTCATATTTGAGACGATCAACTGATGTCTTGTTTTCCACAGATTTTTTGTGGGAGAGCCAGGGCAGTGAGCTGGGAGGTAAAGCATCAATGTCACTCCCTGCTTTTGGCTAATATAAACATAACTTAGAAGACACTGTCGAACATGCCGTTGAGTCCACTGAACTGTCATTGTCCCAAACTCCAAGACTTGCTCTGGCCACTTTTACTCTTTCGATCGACAACTCAACATTTGTTTTTATTAATAAAGAGGAAAACTTTTGATGTATCTCTTTGACTATAATTTTCAGGAAGCTTTCGTTATCAATAAATACCATGCATATAACTATTTATATCTATACATATCTATTAATTAACTATTAACATTATATATTGTATGTTTTCAATATATCATGAAAATATAATTTAAATATTGTTTTTTATGCTTAAAATATCAATATTTCACAATCTAACAATGCATTTCTTAGCTCTATTTTAAATAATTTCTTCACAGAAACTCAAAGGTATTGTCAACACTTGCATGATTTCGATATTTGTTCCATTGTAACACTAGCAGCACAATACTTGTTAAAAGTAGTAAAAAAAACAAATTTCTGTTGTTTGGACCAGAAGACATTTTATTTCATCATATGACTCATCGAAGATGTGGAAGTCATACAGGAACAGATCTGGACTATAGGGTGGATTGCAGAAGACTTCGCATTCGAATTATGCACTCGGTCTATCGTTGTTTTGTGAAATCCAAATTGTGTCCATGAAAGAGTGGACAGGAACGTATAGGTCAGCCTTTCAAAACATTTCTTTCGTTGGCAAGAATCAATTTTTATTGATTCTAACACCAAAAAATCTATATAATGAGGTCTTATGATTGGTCTCAAAATCTCACCTCAATTTCACATACGAAATTAATAGGCTAATAACTGTTCAGTTATTATTCTTTTATTATTGTTCAAAGGAAATTTGCGATCTCCTTGCTTATGGAAAGTGCGTTAATCTTTTTCGATACACCGGCAACTGCATTCCAGGGTAGCTTCTATTTTTCCAAATATAGTTCCAGTTTAAGGTCTTCTGCTTGGGTTATTTATTTACTTTAACTAGTATTTTACATTTTTCTGCAAATAATATAATTAATTTAATATTTTTTGTTCCATTTTACTTTTGATTAGAACTTAAGTAAGATCAGTTGGTCGATTTTTTTTCTCTAAGGACTATGCGTGCTAATCTAAATAATACACATTATATATGACGACCATCTTCTCTTCTAATAAAATTTTATATTTTTGATAATTGAACCATATTTACAATATTTTTTTTATGATTTTCTTGCTTTTGCATCCTGTTTGAATGATAAGTACTGTCACCTATTAGACATTCGTCTTTGTTTATTTAAACTATTATAAACTCCAGTTAATTTTTTATACTTTATCCAATCGTGACTAAACTTACCACATAAAGGCAACATTGTTTACAATTTCTTTTTTAAATATCCTACCCTACTGAGCTGAGATAATACTGATTTTGATAATTTAAAAATGCATTTGTGTTATGCCTTCTGGTTAATTGGTTCATCTAGGCTACACATTCTTAATAAGAATTTTAATCGTCGAATTTTCAGGTCGAAGCAGAATCTATGACGTCAATTGGACTTTCCCAGATTTTAATTTTAGCACTCCTTTTCTAAATATATGCATGACGCAACAACCTGATGTGTTTTTATTTTTATTTTTATGCAATGAGTGAAAAAAGATATTTCAACATTAATGTATTTCATTTTCGGTTAGCCCGCTTCTACAGCAATTTGATTATATAAGATTCTTGACAGTGTATGCAAATAAGCAAACAAATCAAAGGTTATCCAAAATATAACAACGCAATTCTGTAAAGCCTAACTTATGCCTTACGCAACCTTGATTTATTAACTCACTATTCAAAAATGCAATTAATGTGACATTTTGACCAAACGGACACTGATCAAATAGTACTGTTCAACTGATAAAAATACAGGTTTATTCTGTGCCAATGAAGCATAAAATATCTAAAAGTATTAATTTTAAAAAATACCAACGTGGTAGTCAATAAAATTTAAAAGAAAATCTGATAGTTTGAGAAAGAGACATTTTGTGATACGGTCATTAAAGGCATTTTTATTTCACTCTTTTTTTGTAAATAATAAGAAAAAATTTTATTATTTAAGTTATCCCCATAATTTATTGTTATAATCTATTTTGTTTGGCATAAATGTTTTTGTATAATAAAATTAAAGGAATGTATATTAATTATAGGCACATACAATCCTATAAGCAGAAAAAAAATGATAAATCAAAATTTTGAGATATATTTTCTGAATTTTTTTTTACCGTCTCGTCTCTGTTGTTGCAGACAAAGGGTTTCAATATATCAAAAGACAAAGAGCCATTTTTCCATTCCGGGAAAGCGTATCCATCTTTTAAGTCACACTCCGCATTCCACTTTTCTCTATGAGATTGGTATGTCTGAAAAATTTATATTTCTATGAAGAAAATAATTAGAAAGAAATTGCGAAATAAGAAAAAAAAATTTCTTGAAAGCACTTAAAAGGATAACTGTTTACCTAAATCATTTATTGATATAACTATCAACCAGGGTCTAGTAAGGGAAATATTCTCTTGCAACATTTCACTCGTAATAATTTACTCCAGCAATCAAGCAGGTTTCCATACTCAGCTCCATATTCCTTGCATACGGTTTGATTTAGTTTTCATTTTTCTTTACTTAAATATTAACTCATGACCACCTCATGTGCATATTTTTTTGACAACCATTTCAAAAATATAAATTAAGTGTCACTCTAATGCAACAACCTATATGATTTTCAGGAAAAAAAAATTAAATAAGGAAATATATGAGGCACAATACTTACATCTTTATGCCAATAGTCAAAACACTTTGATTCTTCTTCCGATAGTTCTATAATAGTAAGATAAATGTAAAAGAAATTTACAAAAATATATAATTCATTAAAAGTGAGTTTCAGCTAACAAATGTAAAAATTAATCATGTTTCAATTCATTTTAAATTATTGAAGCATATTGGGCACTTCTTGAAATAATTGGCGGCAATGTGAAGTGCGCTATAAAAAGTCTGTTCCGAATATATATATTTTTTGAATCCTGGTCCAAATGGAAGTAAGCCATATATTTAGCAAAAATAAAATTAAAGTTATGTGTCTAGAAAAATATTATTTAAAGGATTAAAAATAATGTAACGAATCATCATAATCTAACGAATCATTACTGAGAACTGAAAAGATTAAAACCTATTGTTTGATTTCCGGATAAAACAGAGACAAGTGGAAATTTAAAAATCACCTACAAGCATTATCAGGTTTATATACACTGAAGAGCCAAAAAAACTGTTATACCTGATTAATATCGTGTAGGGCCCCCGCGAGCACGCACGTGCCGCAACACGACGTGGCATGGATGCGATCAATGTGTGAAGTAGTGCTGGAGATAATTGACACCATGAATCCTGCAGGGCTGTCCATAAACCAGTAGGAGTATGCCGATGGCAGAGCTGTACTTTGATTGGCTTTGCATACTCATGCCTGTACCAGTTTTTTTGGCTCTTCAGTGTATTTTTTCGTTGAAACGCATCTTCCCCAATATTAGTTCGACAAAGTTTGATACCGTTTTTTTCTTTCCAATTTTACTTTGAAGTTGATTTATCTCATGTGCATACTTTATAACTATATTGTTGAGAAAAGAACTCTAAAAATATTGGAAAAACTGTGGTAAATTTCTATCCAAATTCAGTGTTTAAAAACTCAAGCGGTTTGAATTCCGAACAGAGCACGGATGTTTCCCTCTATACGTTGTTCCTGTTGCGTGTGATGGCTGAATGGCGCAGTATTGTCGTAATGTCGCTCAGTTATTGTGTAATGTCGCTCAGTTGCTCTCAGTTTCTCATCTCCTTGACTTAGTTCACAAGGTGCTCACCAGGTAACGCAAAATGAGCAACACTTTCTTCACCTTCCATATCAAAGAACGATCAGTTCAGTGCCTGCTGTTAAAAAAATAATAATTATTATTATTATACATGAATTGTTTTCCCCAATTTTGGCGTAAACGCTTCACTTGTAAAACGATCGATACTTCGCATTGTTTACAAGAAGCTGAAAGTTTGATTTTACTCACATTTGAGAAAAATAATTAAAGTATTTGTTACAATTTTTTTTTTATTTTATTTCAATAATATTGATTATTATATTCTCATAAGGTCTATCAATAACAAAAATGTGTCCATTATATTTCATAATTTTATTATATATTTATGCTCCTTATATTTATGCTTTGTTAAAACTTGATCGAATTCTTATGAATATTCTTATTGTACTGGGGTTTGTTAGATTAATAAATTTTATTTATCGAATCATAATTCATATGCATTCTTATACACCGAAGAGCCATTACATTATGACCACCCTGCTAATAACATGTAGGACCACCTTTAGCTCTCAAAACTGCTAGCACCCGCCGTGGCATTGATTCCACAAAGTGCTGATAGGTAGTCTGCGGTATCTGGTACCAAGCGCTCACCAACAGGTCCTGCAATTCCCTCACATTGCGAGGGGGTAGCGTAGCAGCACAAATTTGCTTTTCCAAGTAGAACCATGAATGCTCTATTGGATTAAAGTCAGGTGAATTTGGGGGCCAAGACATGACTTGAAAATCACAGGAATGTTCCTCGACGATTCGACCCTTATGACATGGTGCATTATCCTGTTGGGAAACACCATCCCCCGCAGGAAAAACTGTTGCCATGAATGGGTAAACCTGGTCTGCAGCTGGGTTCAAGTAGCTTACAGACGTCAGGGATTGTTCTATGGGGATTATGGTCCCTAATGTACCCCATGAAAACATTGATCCTGGGCGAGAAACCATGAAAACCTGGGCGAGCCCATTGTTATAGATAGTGGGTGGCCATAATGTAATGGCTCTTCGGTGTATATACATCCATTGCATGTACTCATGCTATGGCTCTTAGTTTATATTTTATCGAAAAAATAACGTAAGTGACTCTTATGTATATCATATCTTATTGTAATTATTAATATTATTGTTATAAAACAGCAAAAATGGTTTCGACTACATTACACTAAGAAGAATAAGAGAGCATTCTTAACGTTGTCAAACATCTAGATTTATTGAGTTGTCTATCTCGTTTCACTATGCCACTTTGGTGTTATTTTAACACAAAATAATGGTTTGAATTTAATTGTAATAAAAAGAAAATAAAGTAAAATTGCATTTTTAGTTGCACAAAAGTTTTAAAAAAATTTTACCAAAGTTTAATATTTTACTCAATTTTGCAAAGATGTTTATAAATCATTTAGTTGTTATTGAATAAAATCATAAATAATTCAAAGGGACTACAAATAAACACTAAAAATTATCTGTAATTTTGATAACAATTATGTTAAAAAAGAATCCATTGATTGCTACAGATTTAATTCCAAACAGAAAGCAGTTACAGTTGACGAGCCATAGCAACGAAAAATTTTTGAATTGTTTTTAATAGCAATAAAAATTTAAGTTCTATATAGTACATAAGTAGTTTTTTTAGATATTTAAATCAATTGAAACAAAAAATATGCCATTTTGTAACACTGAATAATGATACCAAAAATAAAGGATTCATTTATGTATAAAACAGGTTTGGATTATAGGATAACAAATATCACAGCCTCCATCCACAGATTGTATTACACATCCAGCAGCTGATTAATGTAAACCAGATCTTTTGAAAAATTATTTATTCACTCATATTTAACTTCCTCTCTTGTAGGAGGAACAGATGATGTTGAATTTAAAAATGTTGTCGAAACATTTAATAGCACAAAGAGAAACAGTTTTGTTTTTCTTTCGTTGATTGGGATATAATCTTTTTTTTGGCATTTTTCACTTACGGGGTCAATTATAACAGTTCATAAATTCAACTAAAACATAGTTAATTATACATATTATCGTAGTTGTGATATATTTTTTTATTGATCAAACTAGTAATGATATTTAAGGAGTAAAAATAATAATGAGCAGAGACCAAAAGGGTTAAAATTTTTAACTTTAAGAGGTTAAAATTTTTAATTCATGCTATGAAAGGTGACAAATAAAATAATACACATGCAACATAATATAAAGGATTTAGGAAACTATTGGTGGTTCTTAAAGAGTTAAGTAATGGTTTGTAAACATAAGATTATTTATTTTCAGCTGTTATAATCGTCCCTTTACTTATTGTTACAATCGTCCCCAAGACGCCATGTCGACTTCATTTGTTAAAAACAATGCTAGTTAATTAACAGAACTAGTCTTTTTTTTAATGTTAATTAAGGTGTCCACATACATATTTGGTTAATAATTTTTATTTGTTTAAACAAAATTACTTTGTTACAATATAATATTCTAATACCAAAAAAAGTACTTACTTAGCGTGAAAATATCTTTTGTGATGAAACTCTTTCAAAAGTACATAAAAATGGTTGCCAGCATTGTACATGTAGATATATTAAATACACCTTGTGCGACACATAGGAACCAAATCTAGAACCCGACACTCGAAATTTTTGCTCTGTTACAATCGTACCCTGTTACAATTTACCCCACTCTCCCCTATGTCATATTAAAGGATTAAAATCTCAAGTATTCATGTTTCAAGTGTATAGTAAAATTCCGCCCGTTAAACATAGGTGGATCACTATAGAAGGCATAAACATTTGTTACAACTCTATTCTTTGTGTACCAGATGATTTGATACAAAAAAATTAGTGCCAGACAAAGATAGCTGTCTATTAAGTAATGTGCTTATTGAAAAAATTTTAAGGGAGAAAGTAATGAATTTTGCAATACGACTTTTGTAATGAATTCACACATAAATAGTGGCAGTTGAGATTTTGTGTACTTTTTATGAAAAAAATGTACTATAATAATTAAAAAAAAACAAAAAGTTTCTATTATATAATGATGATAGTAATTGCTCCTTTCATTTTAAGTTCAAATAGCATTTCCAGTGAAATAAATTTTTTTACAGTTATTGACTGTTCGTTAAATTTTTGAATAAATATTTATAAGACATTCGAAAAATCTGAAATCAAATTACATAAAAGACATCAAATTCACGTTCGTAAATTTCTTTAGAGTGATGAATATATGAAGTTATTTGCATTAATGAATGTTTATATTCAAACGAAATCTCAAATTCATTCGTACGAATAACTTCATATTTTCTTATTAGTTGTTATAAAATATTCTTCCCTGTGTATTTATGAATCGCAAATATTATGTGCAATAATAACATTGCATCTAGTGTTTTATTATAAACAAATAAGAATTTGTAACTCCAATAAAATAAATTTTATATCCAGAGTCTTATTTAAAAAAAATATATAGCTTAGCTAAAGTATCTTTAAACTGTATATTTTGAAGCACTACTTTAAACTCGTGCAAAATGTTAATGTTCACATATTTTTTGGAGAACTTAGTGTTGGAGAATGTGTTTTTATCATACTTGCCAGAGGCAAACGGAAAGTGTTTTCTAGTCATTTTTCAAAGTTTCCTATATCTATATAACATAGACTATAACATTCCCATGGCATGTGGCATTCATAATATTGTACATAATCTAAACAATTTTTCGATTGTTAAAATGTTATATCATTGTTTAATTGCTGAATTTAGACAAAAAAATAATAATCGCAGTTTTATCAATTATTATTTTTTTTAAAAAAGGTTCGGATCGAATTAGGGGACAACAAAAGAACTTCTAGGAATGTATTTTTTCCTCAACAATAAAAGCAATCTTACCACAATCACAATATTGACGGATAAAACATTCTACAAAAGAACCACCAATTGCTATAATCGCCTGTTCACGTGCGGTTTTCAGAACATTTCTAAAGTCAAATCCGTGGCAATAGGCAACTGATGAAACCAAAATGTAAATTAAACTGTATCTGTAAAACATTTCCGTGACGAATATCACACCAATATCTAGACCACTCCAATGTGTTCGACCAATTTGATTCTAAAAGCTGTTCTTGCTGACAAGCATCGTTTAAAAAGGGTCATATCATCATATGCGTCATTGAAAAAAACAGCTGGTACTGAATAAGCAAATTATCACAATGTGAATTAAATAAAGCATATTTAAAAATACAAAGAGGTCCTTCTCAAGCGTGCTTACAAAATATAACTCACTGAGGAAACATATTTATGCAGAGTGATTACGTGTGGCATGTATGGATGCCTGAATGTAAACAAGCTTATTTAAAACGGTAAAAATTTAGAAATGCTTACGAGCAATGCTTACGAGGCGATGTGGGAACAGGCTTAATATTCTAAATATTCTAGGAAGTCTTATTATTGTGCTTTAAGATTTACTCGTAATTTTACCATTCATAAGAGTTTTCTTTAATTTTTAAAATTCTAATAGGTAGCGAGACTAAAACAAATTATACAAAATAAATATTGGAGCATAAATAAAGTGTAAGGTTAACAATGTTTTTGAGTGTTATACATTATGAGGCTATATTTGTGCAAAAGAGCACAGTTTTTTAGTTTTTGGACAGCATCAGAGCAAACTTGCAGATACTTCCGAATTCATTTGTTGTTCGTTTCGTTGAAAGTTAAATTGAAAGAACGCACTATATTGAAAACATTACAAGTTTAATATTATTAGATGGTGCGTGTTTTCAAGCTTAGACACAAAAATCAGTGGGAAATGGTAACCCGAAAGTCTTACGATGAATTTTAACACCTAGCGTCATCTGCTGATATATATTAAATACTATATTCGCAATTAAATCAGTCTTATTGTTAGTTCTATTTGACTTTTTGTACTGTTGTTTGTCAGATTTAAATAGTGTTTCTTTTTTCTTCAGTTAAAAAAAAATATTTGTAATCCTTAATGTGTATACTTTTTTTTTCTTCCAAGGGATAATATACATTAAATTGGTTCGTAATGAAACATGCGAAGTTACAATTTTTTTTTTTATTTGATTATACTGAATCAATGACTGATGAGAAAAAACAAATCTGATTAGGAACATAAAACGTAATGTTGATAACGAAATATAGAAAATAAAGGTGAGAAACAAAACTAGCAAAACCATCAAACGAGAGTAAACAAAAAAAAAGGATGAAAGAACAATAATTCATGTGAATGATTTATCTTGCTAATGATATTAGTTCCTCACTACATCTCCATAGCGCGTGGAAATGACTTTTACCCTAATTCGTCCCTCACGACACTAGTGGCTTTCTTGTTCAGCTTTTTTTCTTTATGTCTATCTCGGCTACTTGGGGTTTTCTATTTTTGTTTCCCATCTTTATCCTCCATTTTCGTTGGAGTTTTTTACGTTTCATACTTCAAAATATGATGTGATGATGTGTCAATGTAATTTCGAAGGATAATATGAGTTAAGAGGGGTCGTTTCAAACACTCATGCATAACAAAAAAAATTATTTTATTATATTTGTCTATGACTTCAAAATATATTCACTTTTGCAGCCATACATTTCCCAAGAATGCCCAGCGTATTTAACTTATAAAATTTAAAGTAATGCTTAAAATTTTAAACGGAAAAAAAGATTCTAATAAAATGAACGTATTGCACTTTAATTACATTTCTGCAAAGAATGACATAATACTTGTGACAAGAATCCCAATACGCAATATTTATATCATTCATTTTTCCGTTCATATGGTAACAGCTTACAAATTCTGAAAATTACAGTTCTTATTTCCACACTTTTAATAAAAAACACGAAACTGAAAAGGAAAAATTTTACCGAATACATGGTATTAAAGCCATGCTCGAAAGTATCACAATCAAATTACCAAAGGTTTTCAAATTTACCAAATTTTATCACTTATTATGAAATTACATTTTATTGCTAAGTTTACTAAAGCGATTCGATAAAAAAAAATAGCTTTTTGGTATCCTGATAGAGCCAGAAATAAGGCAAATTCCTTCATATTCTGGTAGTTTTGACCATACTTTCATACTTTTTCTCAGATTTTTTTATTATTATTTAATTAAAAATATTAGAAAATAAATTTAAGTAGCACGTTGCAATTATTACCAAGAATTTATTCGAGAAATAGTTAAGATGAAATGCTCCAGGTGTTTCAACAAAATCGATACATAGCTGGACGTTATCCAAGATTTAAACTTTTTGATCAATTTGTTTCTAAATGTAAATTTTCCGTTAACACAACTGTAATTGTCCATTTCAATGTACAGTACACTATTTTCCTGCTAGCATAATTACACATTCAATGAATTACACAAATTCTGAAAATTACAGTTCTTTTTTCCACACTTTTAATAAAAAACACGAAACTGAAAAGGAAAAATTTTACCGAATACATGGTATTAAAGCCATGCTCGAAAGTATCACAATGAAATTACCAAAGTTTTTCAAATTTACCAAATTTTATCACACATTATAAAATTACATTTTATTCCTAAGTTTACTAAAGCGATTCGATAAAGAAATAGCTTTTTGGTATCCTGATAGAGTCAGAAATAAGGCAAATTCCTTCATATTCTGGTAGTTTTGACCATACTTTCATACTTTTTCTCAGATTTTTTTATTATTATTTAATTAAAAATATTAGAAAATAAATTTAAGTAGCACATTGCAATTATTGCCAAGAATTTATTCGAGAAATAGTTAAGATGAAATGCTCCAGGTGTTTTGACAAAATCGATACATAGCTGGAAGTTATCCAAGATTTAAACTTTTTGATCAATTTGTTTTTAAATGTAAATTTCTCGTTAACACAACTGTAATAGTCCATTTCAATGTATAGTACACTATTTTTCTGCTAGCATAATAACACTTTCAATGAATTAAAATTAAAGGAAAACACATGAAAAGAAAACATGTTTAAAAAGTATTATTTAGAAAAGTAATTAAATTAAAATTGTTGCTAAGTTTAATTCATTCTTTACTTTCCTGATTGTTACTGAATTATTATAGAAAAAATAACCCATCATGTATTATTATATATTATTACAAAAATATATATTATTACAAAATATTTGTATCAAAAAGAAAATAAGTTGAGGCAGGATTATTTAAACATTGACTGAAGAGAATTTTGGTAAAAGCTTAGTGAGGTGTAAACATTAAGAGTCGAAAGAAATATATTACTTTACTCTCAATAATTTTAAAATTTAGTTTAAAATACAAAGGTATGCTTAAAATTATAATTTCATAATTATGTATTATGTAGCGTAATAATTATAGGGTTAATAATTACATAAAACAAGAGAAATCAAACAATGAATAATTTAATATCCACTTATTTAATGCGCTTCATTTAACGGAATTAATAATAAAATGATTATTTAATTTATTCTATTTATGATTCATTCGTATTGACCACGATATATTTATAATTAAAAAAAGAAAACGTAACACAGTTGAAAAAAGGTGATGAAATATATGAGCTGTTTCAATAGATTTTGCGTATTAACGAAAAATTTAACGCATATTTTTCAGTTTAATTCTTTTTGAAAAACATATCAGGACTTTTGAATTAGTTGAAAATAGTTTAGATTTTTTGAAGCAAATTAAATAATTAAACTTATACATTCGTTATTACTCATTATACACTCATTATGACATTCAAGATTCTTTATTTAACTTAGAATTAAACAGAAAAAATTTTGTATAAATTTGATCAACATATATATTGTTAATACAATTATATTGTTACTGCAGATATTATACATTTAAATAAAATATTTGCAGCACTTTTTCTTCTTTACTTTTATTTGTAGTAATTCAAGATTTAAATAATGCTTTAATATACCTAATAATTAATAATAATTGATTTAATATATCTAATAATTTATAATAATTGATAAATATTACACATTCAAAAACTTATTAAACTTACACATTCATTATTACTCATTATACACTCATTATGACATTCAAGATTCTTTATTTAGCTTAGAATTAAACAGAAAAATGTTGTTGCATCAATCTTTTTCTTTTATTTGTAGTAATTCCAGATTTAAAGAATGCTTTAATATATTTAATAATTAATAATAATTGATTTAATATATCTAATAATTAATAATAATTGATTTAATATCTCTTATAATTACTAATAATTGATTTAATATATCTTATAATTAATAATAATTGATAAATATGACACATTCAAAACTATGTACAAAGATATTTTTGCTAGTTTCTTCTTCCTCTACCAGCACTACAGCTAACTGACAGGCATGACTGTATTAAGCAGTTTTTCAGACCGCAATCCTTATTATTTATCAAATCCCACACTACTCAGACACTATCCCACATTATCTAACCGCCTTGTCTACCTCTTTTTTTTATCCATTTGGCTTGTGAAAAGCTTTTTTTATCTTTTATTTTGACCGGTATTTATTGCTATAGATATAGATGTGACCAAGTCATCCAATCTGTGAAATTTTTATAAATCTTACTATAATTGGTTCACTGAAATTACAGCGTAACTTTTAGTGTTCAAGATTTGTCACATTCTCAGTAATTCCACTTTTTTCGCTGAAACATTATCTCTAGATCTTTCCTTCAATTATAAATCATCTATTGTCTTTTGATTTATTAATAGTCGAGCACTCATTTTTATTACTTACTAAGGATTTAAAAATGTGTGTTTCAGTTTCTCTTATCAAGTATTTTAACTAGTATCTCTTAGCCATAATAATTCTGATGTTAGTAGTTTATAAATAATAAAAAATTTCAAAATTGCGTATAAGTTAATAAAATTCGAAATAAAATTTGACGAAACGAAACTATTTCTTTGTATTAATTAAATGGAAAAAAATTTATAATGCACTGAAGAAAATTCAGCCAGAAAAAAATTTTAAAAAAAATTAATTCAATCAGATGATTAATTTTTTTAGAGGATTTTTCTAGTACTTTGGGAAATTAGAATGTTGAAGGACAATCTTTTCTTTCGTCTTTTATTTATAAAAAAGGGTTCTTTCACAATCTTTA